TTCTTTGCAGGAATAGGGTTTAGGGTTTAGGAATACGGCGTTTTGTTGTCAAGGAATTTCGGTTGAATCACATGACCATCCCAGGCATATAGTATAGATGTGCAGGATATGCATTCCTTCTTACCATTATGTTGAGGAGTTCAGTGGTTTCAGTTTGTCAAATTTTGCGGTTGAGGGTTGAGGGATAGGAGCTTGGGATTAAAGAGCAGGGGGGGCGGTAGTAACCTAGCAAAACACCACCATTCTCATCCCTAGACCCTACGCCATAGATCTTCACCGCTCATCTTGCGACGTGCATCGCCAAACAGGCCAATGCCCTAGAAGCCCTCAGCTTCCGCAGCATGCCCCCTTTAAGGCCCCCCTTTCGCATTCAGGGGCTATGGGCACCGCAGACCCTCCAGAAGAAATGGTTCACGGCTTAGGGGTTTAGGACTTCGGGAAATAAACTGCAAAAGACAACGTCCAGCATGTTCTGACTCTCAGATATGCTCGAATGAGAGATCTCTGACGAATCACGTGCATAACGACAAATCGAAGGCCCTACCAACGACCCAACTGCGCAAATAAGCCTGGAACCCCAGGCCCAGAACCCTAAACCCTCAAAACTGCCAAAATCTGTGAATCCCCTTGTAGACCCCTCGGAACTTATATCGCCACTATACAACCGTATTATAGGAATAGACAGAGACGACTAACTGCAAGCCCTTTCAAGAAGCCTCATCGACCTTAGCAACATATGCCACTACTCCCTAAACTCCCAAACCCGAACAAACTCTTCTAAGAACTCTAGCGAACCCTGCACCATCATGGAAGCTTCAACGAAAGCCCATGGGGCAGTCCAGGTCCGATCCTCCAAAGCCGTCCGACGACTCCGGCTACCCGCCTTCTGACGCTGCAGAGGGAAGCCGTGACCTGGTGGAAGTTTAGAGAGAACCCGGGGTCCACCTTCAAGGACCCGGGGACTTTTGCATTTTAGGGGCTTCGTTCGGGCTTGAGGGTTAAGGGGTAAGCCCGCTGCAGAAGAGTTTAGGGGTTTTGGGCGCAAGGCTGAGGCAGTTTTGGATGTAGGGAGTTTTCGGGTAGGCATGCTGGGCTTCGGGGCTTGGGATTTTGGGGTTCAGGCTTTAAGAGAGTTATGGCTTTGTTTGCTGTCTCGCTGTGTTGCAGGGCCTTCATATGCTTGTACCAGTTAGGTTGTCTTCTGGTTCGTGGGTAGTTATAAATGGAGCTATAAGTCCCATATAGGTTATAACTACAGGTATCCTACTTATAAACCTACGTATAACTACCATGAACCTCCAAGTAGTGCTAGTATTTCCCCCTAAACCCTCTCAAGGAGCTCTGGGGGCCTCGGGTTTGCTTGGGGGCTTACAAAGCCCCTACAAAACCCCACATGGACACCAAGTACCCTACATTGTTTAAGGGCTTCTGATCCTGATTTCTTTATCTCATTCCTTCACAAGGTAGCCGGGTCCTTGTTGGCTACAATTTTACATATTTGTTGTTATCATAACACCCAAGAAGGATTAAGAATGATCGTTTTTAAACTAGCCGCAACAGGGAACCAGGTAGGTTCTTTGGGGTTACCCCTAGGCTCCATAGTAGTTCCTTTTTGGGGTTGCCTCATAGGATCCTAAATATAAGCCACAAAAAGGAACTACTATATGTAGCCTAGGGGTTCCCCGAAGCCTCGAGGCCAGTCCTCCGCGCAAGGGCCCTTGGGCCGTGGCCCGAGCTGCCATGGGTTCTGATTTCATGTTTAGGTTTTGAGAATGGTAGGGTTTAGAGTTGGTTCGGATCCGGAGAAGCCTTAAACGCTAAACCGTTCAGGTGCAGGCTTTAGGGGCTTTGGCGTTGAGAGGTTGAGGGTTTTGGCCTTGGGGCTTGGTGGCCCGCTCTTGCGAACCTTTTGGGACATGCACGGCAGGCGGGTGTTGCGGCCTGTTGCAAAAGGGGGTCGAGGGTTCGGTAACCCTACCTAAACCCTATACGCCTGCAAAACCATTGAATGCGAAAGCCTAAATTCTACACCTGTGCTTCTAGCCTAATCTGCAGCTGGGAGCGAAAAAAGCAACAACACAACAGTTGGCATCAAAGCAAGAGCCTTGACTCGTTTAGTAGAGCCTTGACTAGTTTAGACAATCGCGTGTGGGTGGGCAAGCTGCTTCGTTTTGTAGGACGGCCGTGGCAGCCGCAGGTGCCATGCACAGCCACACCTCCAAAGCAGAGCGTGACAAAGAGCGTCGGGAGAAGCAGGCCGGTCGGCAAAATCTCAAGCCCTCTCGATCTGATGGGTTTAGGCCGTAGCCGGAGGGTTTTAAGCTCTCTTGATCGTGTGGATCTGGGATTTTTGGTTTGGGAAGCTCTCTCGATCTCTTGGGGTTAGGGTTTCGGGTGGGTATTTTCGATATAGTCAGAGGCCTGAAGAAATTATAAAAAATCCTTGGGCTTCCTCACTTTTCTATGGTTATACTAGAATATTCAACAAAACTCCCAAAACCCTGTTCAACCCTAAACCTCCAATATCCTCGGATACTGCCCTCAGTCAGTATCAGGTTCAGTAATTCTGGATACGAGGCCCTTAATAGTAGCCCGATTATAGTAGCCCTATTATAGACTGTTACTGTATCGGGGCAGTACCCAACCTAACCCTAAACGCCAAACCCCAAACCCCAAACCCTTTCCTACTTATTAAGGTCCCGCAGAATAAGCTCCAGGAGGCCCGGGCGCAACAGCAAAACCGGAGGCGAGCCATGGAGGACGTGAAAAGGCGCCGGTTTTGCTTTGGGGCGCAAAGGTTTACGGTGAAAGGTTTAGGGTTTAGGGATTTGGGATTAGGTTTAGGGTGTAGGGCCTTGGCCAGAGTATCCAATGTACACTTGAATGAAACAGGGATAATGAATTGGTACCTTGTAAAGCCCAGGTTTAAGGTACCTCTGCTCCTCTAGGTAGTGTAAAAACTCGTTCACCATGATCTAGTGATCTTAATGTTGTGGATCAGATATATAATGCTATAAAATGCTAGATGCCAGCCAGGTCCCGGAGGACCAGGGATGCCAGACAATGCTAGATAGTGCTGGAAAATGCTAGATTCACAGCGTTTGCCCGGGACGTGTTTCTTTCTCAGGCCGGGCATCTTAAGTGGAAAACTCTCAGACAATCATGTCCACAAGCTGAACGTGCAGTTCTGAAATTCAGCAGGTTGGTTTCTGAACGAAGGAAATATCTAGCAGCTGAAATATCTAGGAAAATTCAGCTTCATCTAGCTCCCGTGCTCGTCTGTTGGCTGTGAAGACGACGGCTTGCACTATGATGACAAAGGGTTCCTAAGATTCTGGGATCGGGATGGGGGTTCCCCTCTTTTGGGGAGGTCCCTTGGTTTGATGCTATGAGCCTACAGGGTAGCATGCAGGGTCGTGTCCCTACACCCTGAACCCGAAGTGTTTTTTTTAGGGTCGCCTGCTCCAGTCATGAAAGTTGTGCAGAATCCCCTTGGCTATCATGGGATGCTTGATCTTGACCACCGATTCCAGAACCCCAAGCCCCGGAATCCTTGAATCCAAAAACGGGGGAGGGGGTTGTTCAGCAAATAAGGGTAAGAGACTGGGTTAGTTACGTGAGTTCTGTATCCAACAGCGGCGACCTCGAGAATCATGCCTTAAGTGTTACAAGCTCCTTGCTCTTCTGTGATCCTAGAAAGTGCACCCTAAACCCCCAAACCCTCAGCCCACCATGTATGTCAATACCTGGACCGCTCATCGAGGCACCCAAAATCCTAGATCAAAACTTACTTTGCCAAGGTTAGAGCTTCAAGCGCTTACGGATTCGAATCCTTGGCACATGTAGACAAGGTTGGAACTTTGCGGCATTGCTATGCAATGAAAGAGGAGAGTGATTGCCCCAAAAGCATCCGCGAGGCTTGCCAACATGAAAGCCCGCGTTCTGCTTGCGAGGCAACTTGGGTTTTTGAATGCCGTGCCAAGTGCTTGCTTCCGGGCTTTTTGTGAAATTTAGGTTTGGGGGTTGTGCGCAATAAACCAATAAATAAAGACGTATAGGAAATGGCAAGAACGGCTTACATACATACATGCGTGCATCATGCATACATATATACATGCTGACATACCTATGTGCAGGTGTATGTCTATGTGCATATGCATGTGCACACAGATACAGATGGGCAAGCCTAAGCATTGGGGCTCTAGGCATGACCCTGGGAGGCCCTGTTTGCTGTTGTGTTACTGCATGCCGGGTGCCAGACTACCCCTTCGAAAAACATGCATGGCAGCTTATGGCAGGCAGCTTTTAACGCATGAGGGCTTTAGGGTTCAGGGTTTGAGCTCAGTAACATGACTTTGGGGATGGCTGTGATTGGTGTTTCTTCACTGGTTGTACCCGCGTCAGTCTTTGGGGCAGCCCCAACCTTGTTTCGGGATGCAGGGGTTTTCTCCCGCCCTGCATCCGTGCATATAGCTTACCTAGCACAAGTCTGTATAGGCACTTCTGGGGCATGTTACTGCCAATGTTTCTTTTAAGAAGGATTGCTCAAGTTGGAGTCTGGAAGTTTTGGCTCAAGAGCGCGGGCTCTATCGTTGAATGCTCAGAGACCTTTTCTTCTGAGCGTGATGAAGCTTCAGGAAGGCCAAATCACGGGATCGAAGCAGCTGAAGGGCCTGAAGAAGAGCCTGCCGGACAAGCTTTGGTCAGAGTCGGAGTCAGCCACGCCCCAGCTGACACCAGAGATTGTCGATGCTTTGAGGCGCAAGGTGCTACAGGCCAGCTTCTTCATGGCGGACAAGGACTGTGACAATCAGCAGCTTGATGCCGGTTTGGGATTAGTTTCGCTTTCCTTTAAGACATTTCAGAGGTATCTGCCTAATACAGCGTTTGGCGCCGCTCTTCAGTCGTAAGCTTCAACCCAGGTTATCCAAAGCAGAGTTCATGCTGATGGTCCGCCGGGGAGACCCCTATATGAAGCAAAAAGAAATCGAGAAGAGCTTCATCCTCGCCACCTTGGGAAATGGTGCCGTCAGCTTCGACGCATTTGCTGCGTGGGTTTCCCTGAGGGACTACCAAGAGGAGGCGCATGCTCTTATCGACCCATTGAAGGCAGTCTGGCCCCAGTAGTACCCTTTTTGCACTTTCTTGGGGGGTCTCTTATATTGTTGGAACTGAATAGTAGGAAAAGGGTACTTTTACCTTTCTATCGGGATTACTTTTCAACCTAAAAAGGTAGTGTGGCACCTGTGGAACCTGGACGGCGACGACTCACTTAGCATTCCAGAGTTCGAGCACTGCATTAAACAGGCTTTCCCGAAGATGAAAAGGATAGAGCTGCTGCGCATCATTCGTGCGATAGACGAAGACTTCAGTGGCGTAGTGACTCAGGAAGAGTTTGGACTCTTCATTTGTCCACCGGAGGCCTGAGCTTGAGTCAGCCTGGGTAATGTTGGGGCCTTCGGAAGTTCAAGGGTTTTTGGGGGCTAAAGGAATCTTACTGCATAGTGTTCTGATCGCCCCTGGATAATCGCCTTCGGCCGAGGGCACACATGTCGGACATGTCCTTAGGTCATGTCCTGCACTTGTAAATGAATCTCCGAACATCCACCGTAGGTTTTGAAGATCTGACCGGGAGTTTCGGAACAAGGGCGGGGACCCTCATGTAGATCCTGGATACTCTACTCTAAACCCTAAACTTTATGTGATCCGTGCTACAAGGGCCTCTGCCTCCAAGGTCCCTGAAGCTTCCGAAACTCCCCCTTTGCCAAGAGAGGAGTAGGCCTGTTTTGGAGCGGAGTACCATGCCTTGGCCACAGGGTCACGGCAGGACTTCCCGAATCCGCGTCGGCCCTGTCTTCGTGTATGCTTAGAAAATGATGTAGGCCCTTGATCAAAAGAATCCAAGTTCTGGCATCACAAAGGTAACATGTAGGGGTCCGAACATCGAGGCCCTTGGAGACAGCGTTTGTATTAATCAAGGGCCACATCACCAGACTCCACCCTCCGGAGCTTTTAATCGTATACCGAAATGGGAGGGATGCAGCTGCTTAGTCGAAGAATTGCGTTTTGCCAGACTTTTGGGGAAGCACGTTGCAGACGGGCTCCTTTATGCCCATTTTTGCGTGTCCTGCCGGCAGGTAAACGGCGGACGCATGGCCCCCCGGTCCAGTTTCAAGCTCCAGAGTCGGTCTGGGGAACCCCGAAAAATGAAGCATCGTGGATCCCCGAAACTGCTTATCAAGGCAACGACCTGGACACCGGACACAGTGGTACGGCCTTGTCTCCTGCTGAATGGGCAGACCAACAAGTTCCGACGCAAGAAATCCCCAGCAGTAGTACTCTCGTTGGTTTGTTTCAGAACCTCAGGTGTCTTGACAATAAAGATCCTACGATTTGGCGTGTTTAGTGGTGGGTTTTGACTCTTGCGAAAGACCTGTTCCACCACAAGATGTAGAAGGGCACACTTTACGATCAAGGGGTTGCTGGGGAACCTATGAAGTGGCAACCAAAGGTTCAGAGCATCCGGGCTCTTCTCAGGCAGTTCCGAGCAAGATACCATAGCATCGCAACTTAATTACACTACGCAAGTGCCTCCAAGAGAGCCGGGGGTGCAGCTCGGGCACAATCCCATATCGCAAATCTGAAGCCCTATGTAGCGGCCTTAATAATTAGAATAGGATTTTGGGGTTCCTTATTATAATTATAATATAACGGGCCCCAAAACCCTATTCTAATCATTAAGGCCTCTATACCACCTCGTCAAGCCTGTTCCGAGCTATACCAGGTTGAATCTCCAAGCCCAAAACCCCAAACCCACTAAACCCTCAAACCCCTAAACCCAAACCCCTAAACCCTAAAGCCCCAAACTCCCAAAGCCCTAAATCCTAAACACCCAAAACCCCTAAACCCCCAAAGCCCTAAACCCTAAATCCCAAACCCCTAAACCAAAAATCCCAAACCCCTAAACCCTAAATCCCCAACGCCTAAACCCTAAATCCCCCAAAAGCGGTTCTCCAAAAGCCCTGGACGTCCAGGCCCCCGCAACCCCCTTTCGCAAACCGAAATTTACAAAAAAAAGGCTAAGGAGGCCGTAAACTTCCTTCTGCCATGGCATCATGGGTTTAGGGTTTAGGGTTTAGGGGGTTAGGGTTAAGGGTTGTTTAGGAGTTTAGGGCATACTCTATTCCATTCTAGTCTATTATTTTTCTGATTCTAGTTTTTTTATTCTATAGTCTATTCTGTTCTATTGCATTTGATTGGCTATATTTGTATTAAGACCTGTCTCCCTAACCGAAGAAACCCAAACCCAACCCTGGACACTAAACTCTGAAGCCCAAAGTCGCCCCGATATCCTCAGCGAAGCACCCCTTGAACCGTAAACCCCCGATCCCGATGTCCGAGTTGTGAGAGTGGACCCCGAGCCTACAGAGCGTAAACCCTGGACCCCTAAACCCTAAACCTAAACCTTGAAAAAGCCTGCTCTCTGCCAGGAAGATGCGACAGCTCCTCGCCAAAGCGCTTGGCCTTGGCGAGGCTTTTGCAGAAGCCTCGCGCCCTCTGGCCAAAGGGAGTTTTACAGCAGGCAAGCTTGCTATAGATACTTAGTAGTTCTATTCCTTAGGGTTTAAGGTTTGAGAAACGGAGGTTCAGACGAAAGGGGGAGCCTACTACAGTATAGAAGCCTAAGCAGTTAGTAGTACCACTCCTTAGGATTCCTCCGCATAAACACCACTCCCAGAGACCTGCTCTAATGATTCATTCCCCCTAGGATTTGGTACAAAACCTACAGAACATGTATGTTGGCGCAACTGCGGCCTCAGCATGGCTGCATGGCTCTGGCTTCGTGTTCAGCGTTTTCAGGGTCGCGAGGGTTTCGGGTCTCAGGGAGCTCAGGTTACCTTTACCTTTAACCGAGGAACAATCATACTAAGGATCACAGTTGTCATCAACCCCAATGCGGCCTTACTTACGACGCGTGTAGATAAAAAAGTTTACGGTGTTTGAGCTCCCTGAGCATTCCTTCACTCTTGCAAAGCGTTTGTTAAACCCCCCAATAGAAACAAAAACTGTCTCGAGCCCTGTAAGCCAGATAAAGCAACATAAATTCCTGCAACAACGCTGGGATTCTCTTAGACTAGAGTCTCGGGTGGCCCTTTATAATAAAACAATATGGCGACTGCAAGCCCGCCGCGTTTCATCGACTGGCCAAGTCCCCGCGTTTCAGTACACACCCCCAGCCGTCCCTGCATTACCCCTCAGTTAACTACAGCATCGTCGGCCCAAAGCACTGCAATTTTTCAGGCTTGCATGTTGGGTGTGGACTGTTCTCATTGCCTCTTGCACAACCCGAATTAGCCCAGCATGGTGATACTCAGCTGACTGCATATGTGCTACATAATTTATAGGTTGCAGCTGGTTGAAAGAAGCTGAGGCAAGTTCCCAACTTTGACAAGCCATGAGGAGTGTTGATACAAGATGTGTCGATCCAGCATATTTGCTTGCAGTGGCAAGAAAACCAGCAGCAAACAAAGGAAGACAAGACTTCTCAAAGTCATAGTTGACCGTTGTGCTGATTGTAGCAGCAATCGCTGCAATTTTGTGGCCTGAACAACAAGTAACGTCATTTGCTAGGCTTCCGTGATATGTTTATAATTTATAATATGGAAGTCCTCCAATCTCCAGTCTAATTGTTCGGGCCTAGATATTAGGAGAAGTTAGGGGCAGTCGACTCAGCTGTTTGTAGCAGGTTTAAGCAGTGACATCCCCCAAAAGAGCCTCGTTTCTATCCATTAAGCCTAAAGGAGGAAAGCCTAACACCCTGGTCCTAAACCCCCCCCCCCGGCCCAGAGAGAGCGAGAGAAAGAGGATCATGTCAAGTCGCTCCACCCAGTGCATATAAATACCTTTAGTCAGCTTAAGGATACCACTGTTCCTGACAGTAATTATGTTCCAACCTCTGGGTGCAAGTAGTTATGCAGTCAGCCCAAAACCCCGAGGCCCGGAATCGTAAACAAGCGTCCTCTATCCTTAAACCCTAAGCCGGCCCGAAACTCTTCCAAAAAAACCCACCACCAAACTCAGAAGCCACAGCCATACGGTTGATGATATAAATCCTGCGTTACCCATAATTAGGAATATGCCATAATTCGCATAGTTCAGGGTCCTTACCTTAAGGTAATGCAGGATTTATATCATCAACAGTGCTTCCCACCTTGGTGGAAGGGATTAGGCCCTAAAATCCTTCCACCAAATTGGGCATTCTGATTCTAACAGCAAGGAAAGAGCACCCTAAACCCCTGAACCCTAAACCCCTAAACCCCTAAACCCTAAACCCCTGAACCCGGTAAAGAAGCAAAGTGGCCCAGGCAGAGGCGAGCTCGAAGAGCTGACAGAGCCTCGACCGGCCTGTCCTATTTTGTTGCTTTTTAGGGTTTAAGGTTTAGGGTTTAGGGTTTTTTCTGTGCTTTTATAGCAGTCATTTCCTGCTTTTTTTGGTGGCGTAAAGCTCCAAGGGGGCATGAAATGAAACAGTAGTATGATGTTGTTCTTATAAGGACACTTAAGTATCGGGTTTTGTGGGAAAAGATGATGGGACTGAGTGGGCGATAAGTGAGGTCATAAAATGGCAGAACCCAAATGCAGGATACTTCGAAGCTCTGCTTATTAGTCTAATTGCTAGGCCCCCTGATCCGAACCCTACTCACATACGACCCTAAACCCTAAACGCTATAGGCTATAAGTCCTCTGATAAACCCTAGACCCTAAGCCTCTAAGCCGGGGTCTACGTTTACAGTGTTGGGGGTTATTGGGTCATGGTCTGACCGAGGCCGAGGTTGGGGTCTAGATGAAGGCTTCGGGGTTTACGGTTTAGGCTTTGGGGTTTAAGGGTTTAGGGTCAAGTGGAAAGCCTGTTGCAAAAAGGGTTTAGGGTCAGGCTTCATGGGTTAAGGGGTTTATGGCTCCAGGGTTCAGGGTTCTGGCTTAGGGTCCCGGCTTTATGGGTTTTAGGGTTTAGGGTTTAGGGTTAGGATGGTTCAGGGCTTCAGGGTTCATTTAGAGCTTCCGGTCTTTAGCCTATTCCTATTCTTAGGGGCCCTGTACTCACGGCAGTTGCTTCGAACTTAAGGTGGTTCCCGAAACTTGGTGTCCACATGTGACTGCTTTCTTCATCGCCTTGCTGGAGGGGCAGGCATAGCTGTAGAGCCCTCTTGGAGGTTCATGGGTAGTTATAAGTAGGGTTATAAGTAAGCTAACTATAGTTATAACCCATATTTGGGGACTTATAGCCTTACTTATAACTACCCATGAACCTCCAAGTAAACCCCAAACCCTAAACGTACCTTTCCCGTGCGGGCCATAGAATGCCAACCCTGAAACGTTGAGACTAGTTCACCAGGCTCTTTGCGTTCATCCCTACAGTTTGTTAC